CCTCGCACAATTCTTGTCTACAGAAATGAAGTTTTTGAGACAGTTGGCTGAGTTATGAATGCTTTCTTTGTGTTTGGCAAGTTTACATCCTTTGTATTCAGGGTGATTCATAGTTTTATAGAAAAATTCCTGTTCTCCTCGCGCACATGAGGCAGAGGATATTGCTTCGTTGATGGTCTTGGTTATGCGCAGCTCCATTCCACGACCGAATTTTGCATGGTCTTTATGATATTCATATCACTTAGATTCGTTTGTAATGTTTCATAGGTTGTCAGATTTTATTACAATACACACTTATAATAAGTTATCTGTTGTTTGTTTCTGTCTAATGGTTACACTCTTGAGAAAATTGAACTTTCCAAAGATATCAAAGTAAATGTAAACTTCACCTATAATGTCATTTCTACTGCAATTCGTTATGCGGTCAAATCTCAAAAGTTGCTAACAATTTAATGCATTGAAGTGCACAGCAATTGAATCAAAGCTGTACTACAATGCGAATGAGCCTGCACCTTTTACTCCCCTAATAATACAGCTCCAATCTACAGGGTGTCCGTAAAGTATGTATACTCTGTTTGACCGTTTATATCTCTTTTCCCAAAAAGTCTTTTGCCTTGCTTTAGGCACGATTTTGTAGAGCTGGCTTCAACTTAGATTCGCATTATAGAACGAATCACCCATCTCTCTTCATTACTGTAGGGTTACGGTAGAAACTTCAACGAGGTTTCTAAGCCATGAAAGGCCATATTTTGCCTCAGAAAGGGAACAAAACAGCCTAAAAACTTTTACACTAGGCTAAATAGAGTTGCTAATTCTAACTGTAAAGTTCCCAACTTATTATGATGCTTCATTGAAGAGTCATGCCAGGTAAGAGGTAGCGGCCATTTTTTAAATGTTCCTAAAAAGTGCGGTTACACCGTTTAAAAAGCTTCACAATTTTGTAAATAGTTGAGTATTGAACTCAGCATTCGTAAAAACCCTATTACACAAGTTTTCACATTTTTTTTGAAAAATTTTGGAACGGCAGCTTTTTCCCCATTGACACCATAAGTTTCAAGTTTCTACCGTAATCCTACAGTAATGAAAAGAGATGGGCAATTCGCTCCATACTGTAAATCTAAGTTGCAGCCAGCTCTACAAAACGGTACCTGAAGCAAGGCAAAATACTTCTTGGGAAAGGAGATATTAACGATCAAAAGTGTATACATACTTTACGGACACCCTGTATATTGACTAGCCAAGATTTTCAAGTTTAGCTCTGAAAAAATGAAATTATAATCCTTAACAGGAAGCGTTGTTGTATGAGGCGTTGCTATGACTAGGTCGGACTAAGGTTCGATCCCGCCGCTAAGCCAACCAGCTCTACCCTCCGGGAAAGGAGAAATTGGTATCAAGGTGTTTTGAGAATGTAAATGCATTGACTTTGTATCGACTGAACCCCGCAAATTACTATGATAGGCCCGCACGCATTCAGTAGCCTCTTTAACTATAGAGTTTGGCGCGTGTCTGCAGGGGGTTATAAAAACGCGGAATCCATTATCCTTTACTTTCTTGGTTTTTATTAAATGACCATAAATTTGACATGCAAGCAAAAGATTGCTTTGTTGTAAGATTGCTTTTTAGTTATGTTTTCACTTTTAACTATTGAATGTGTTTAAAAAAGTTTTAAACAATTAATTATGTGTTGCTATTAATTTAAGGTGTTTAAAAAAATAGGTGATTCTAGATGAAAAAGTGCAGTTGCAGAATGATCCAATGATATGAGCACACTGCCTGCTACTCATATTTGTAAATTCACACTCAATTTACCGAGACCAGCTTTGCAGACCCAATAGTTTCATCCTTGTTACCTGATTGCAGGTCTTTTTACAAGAGACCACTGTCACAGAGGAGGAGGGGTATCTGTAGAGCATAATGCCCGCATATTTGAAATGTGCGAAAATAACAAATACGAAACTTTAGTTCAATTATTGCTCCTACTAAATCGATGCGTGGATATACACAGAGATACACTCTCTACAGAAAACTTCATAAATTTTCTTGCTTGTACATACCATTGTTATGAACATGGCACACTTGTGAAATCTTCAGTTATCTTGTGTAAAATCAACCACAACTGGAGATGGTTGTTACGTTGTTACCATCTATGTAGACACGACATGGGCTCCGTATGCTACTAAATAATTTAACTGGTAGTCTTGGTGATTGATTTTGGCTATTTTGGCTTGAAAAAAGCATAGTCAAATTTACAATAAGCGTCCGTATGGATTTCATTGAATAACAGTCACTACAAAAAAATTGAAAGCAAACAGCCAAGGAGGCGTCGATGTATAAGCGACTTTTTTCTTCATCAAGATGAAAAAAACTGTCGCTTTTTTAGTATCATGTGGGGTCGTAGCAAGGGAAGCCCCAGATGTTTTATGGGCACCATCCGATAAAGCTGACCAAGCTCTACAAATGGCCTTCAAACTTTTGCAAAGTCGGATCCAATTTTAAGACAAAATCTAAAAAGCTTTGAGTGCTGAAGAGATCGAACTGGTCGAAGCTTTATCCAAAAAATCTCCTGCAAATCCCTCACTTGCGCATAATTTTATTCTGAACGCCGAATATTCATATAACAGCTAGAAATTGAGAGAACTACAATGATCATGATTTTTTCGAAGCAACGCTCCTCTACAAACGTTAGTTTTCGAGGAATATCTAGTGGAAAGCTGACTTGTCAAAAAGTAGCCATTATAGAAAGCTGAAAATCCACGGGTACAAGGATACGTAGCATGGATTAGCTATGTGGGGCAGCCCAGCTTGCTTCAAGAAAATTTGTTCTGTTTCCACTTTCCAGTCAAGGGGAAGTATAGCAACTGTTTATATGAAAATTTGGTATAGAGGTTAAGAGCTAGTGGGAGACGTGTAGGATTTTTCAAATAGAGTTTTGATTTTCTTTGATTTTGAGCATTTAGAATCAAGTTATTAGGCTGCCTCATAAGTTTTTTTTTAGTTTTAACTTTCCAAAGCAATAACTCGCATACCTCTCACTTCTGATTAGAAAGGTTACCTTTTGTCAGAGCAAAGCAAGCTCTATAATGGTGTTTGAGTGTTCGTTCTGAGAGTTTTTCAAAAAATTTAAAATATTCTATAACTTGGTCTAAAGAGAACTTACTAGATCCCAAACTCGCTCACGCATATATACTCCACAGGACGCATTCAAATGTGCGGTAGCTATGTTTGCTTTTGTGTTAGAGACTGAGAAAACCAAAAATTTAAGTCTTCCAAAAAGGGATGTTGCGCTGTATTCCACAGATAAATGTATACTACAGGTCTTTGGAAGTATAGTCACAGATTTCCAATTCAAGTTCCTGAGAAATATCGATTTTAACATAAAATACTTCAGCAAAAAAGCTAAATTCGGTATTTCCCAAGAACTAGCTCTTCCAGAATGGCGAAAATTTACTGATGTATTAGGTTGTGTAATAAGTTCGTTCGCATTTTTCGTTTTGATTTTTTCTCAATATTTTGCAAAGCATTTGGCATAGTGTTAGTATGCGTTCGAAAGCTCTAAGTTTGCTCTACCAAAATACTATCAGTATATTTTCAGTTTTTGAAAACTTGAATAAAAAATTTTACTACAAACCGAAAAATCTGAAGTGGCAAAAATCCCATTTTCGACATCTTTTTTCTTCCTTAGTTTTCCCGTTAATCTTTGTTGAAATTCATTCAAAAAGCTTGATAACGAAGAAAAACAAATGACTAACAATTTACGCATTTACTGATACTACTTACGATTGCCCATTTCCTTTCACCGACCGTTTAATGCAATTTTTTGCAAAACTCGGCGTAGCAAGGCTTTGCCGCAGCGGTGTTCGTTGTCTCGCGTCCGTGGGCTATGTGTCCCTCGAATTCTGAATTTCTGACTATATAAGCCATTTATTCGATGATTTAGCGATCATAGACCACATGTCTGCCCATTCTTGGATTGTTTGGCTACCACCTTTCTTCAGAGGTGCCGTCAGATGCTTAACGTTGACACCAAAAAAACATAAAAACATATCTATTTTTGAGCTTACAATATGAATGTTTTTGAAAGGTTTTAGCACTATAGGTAATCTGCGGGAGCTATAGTATTCCGTTTATACATGTCGCAAAATTTTTGAGCTGTTTCTCAAGCGCTCAAACCCATTCAAGGTGCGGCATAACATAGTTGTCGAAAATGGGATTTTCGCCATTTCAGATTTTTCGGTTTGTAGTCGACTTTTTTATTCACCTTTTTAACAAACTGTGAATATAATGATAGTATTTGGTAGAGTAGACTTAGAGCTTCCGAATGCATACTAACACTATGCCAAATGTCTTGAAAAATACCGAGAAAAAATTGAAACAAAAAAATGCGAACGAACTTATTACACAACCTAATATTATTAAAGGCCTGTAGTATACATTCACCTGTGTGAAAACAGCGCAGCATCACTTTCTGGAAGCTCAAAAATTTACTTCTCTCGGTTGCTAACACTGAAACAAACGCAGCAACGACATATATGAAGGTGCTGTGTGGAGTGTACATGCGTGAGCGGGTTTGGGATCTGGTAAGTTTTCTTTCAAAGTTATAGAAAATTTTTAATTTTTTGGGTATCTAAAAGCTCTCAGATTTTCGCTTCTAACTCGTGATGTGCTGAAGCTAATACGAATACTTACATTATAGAGCTTGCTTTGCTCTATCAAATGGTACCGTGCATCTTAATCAAAATTGAGAAGTGTGTGACTTATTGCGAAAGATCAAAATTGAAAAAAAATCTTTTGAGATGACTTGATATTTTGGGCAATCTTCACGTGGACCAAAATTTTGCGGACAAAAGTTTGAAAAATGTGTAGAGCCTGCTTTGCTTTATCGAAACCTATAGCTCATTTGGGGTTTGCGTTGCGGGCTATAAAACGAAAAGCGACATTCCTTTTTTCAAACCAAATGTGAATCAGTGGTTGACATTTATGAAACTATTTTAGTCTATTTTTTCAGGTAAATATCAGCCGCTACCGAATGCACCCAGCTTTTGTGATTCTACTGATTGCTGCCATCTTTACAAAGGAGACCACAGCTCAATACTTTCCATATTATCCATATATGAGAGGTTATCCAGGATATGGCATGTACAGGCCAATGTACGGTGGTTACTACGGTGGTTATGGATATGGATATCCAAGATATGGAATGGGTGGCATGATGGGCGGTGGTGCAGGTGCAGAGATTCTTCAACTGCTTACGTCAAGAAGACGTATTTTCAGGCCCACTGGGATCAGCAATGCGGGGTGCTCTCAGAGGAGCTATGATAGGAGCAATGATGGGAAAATAGAAAGCAGGGTAGTTGCGGACACCAGGTTATAGAGGCAACCTCCATTATCCTTATTCGGCACTTTTTCGTCGTAAAGTTATGTAGTGTAATTCTGTTGAAAATTTTAACTCTTGGTAAAGTCTACTGATACAGTCATCTTGCTGAGACACCTTTGAAGAAAGTCAAAACTATAACTATCACCATTTATACGGCAATAACCTGCGTACATCGTATAATAAGAATTGCAACTGTTAATGCAATGCTGACAATAAAAGCTCTACATCGTTGTAAAAAAAAGATGGCTCCTTGAATGTTCATTGTTATTAAAAGTGCAGCATAAGCCAAAGAGCATATAAAACATAAAACGTTGCTGTCAAAATGGGCTTGCTTTTGCAGAAAACATTGCCGATTTTAAGCGTTTTTTATGTGCTAAACGGTCCGTTAGACAGAGTTACAGGCATTTGTTTAGGTTAGCTGACATAACATGGTCGCTTGTTGCAGGATCCAATAGCCCTTAAGCCTTCCTCCTATAAATCCAAGTAGTATACCTAACAAGGGAACGATCCCAACTTAAGATGGCCAATTGGAATGAACTGTACATCATTAGACGCGTCTTGATGATCTGATTCCAAATCTGCGAGCTGTTCACTGGAAAAGGTAGCGTTCAAATGTTCAAATTTGGCAAACATCAAGCGCCACATTCTCAAGATCTAGTCGGTCGAAACACTGATCTTTGTCTCCGATAAATGTGAGCATCCCTCGAAAACAGTGTACTCAATATCTTGCTAGTCATAAACTTCCAATTTGGATTTTTAGGCATATTATGCGGTTAGAAATTTGGTGACTTCACACATTTAGCCGCATTTAGATGTGAAAATGCACTGGAGCTCTGATGCGTGATGTGCTTTGAAGTCAACGTGGAAGTGTACTAGCAAGGTCTTGAGTGTACTGTTAAGGGATGGACACATCTACTGGAGTCACAAATAGGTGCTTTTGAACAGCCAGGTCTTGAGGATATGGAGCTAAATGTTTGCCAAATTTGCACTGTTGAACGCTGATAATTTCCAGAGAACGGTATCGCAGATGTGGAAGGTAGAAACAATTGGAAACAGCTCATAAGACGCACTTAATGATATGCTCAATACAATTCGCCACCTTAAGTTGGGATCGTTTCCTGTTTAGACATTTCGGTATGTACCCTTAAAGTAAATCTGCATCTACTGCAAATTCGGCATATTTAGTAAGTATATGATCATGCAATTGAGATTGGTGTCACTAACAGCGTCCAGTATCTTTTGCAGATGTACAGTTCATCCAAATTGAGAATGGCAGGATTTTGATGCTGTACAGCGGGCCGAGAACAGAGTAATTGGCCAAGTCCAGCCGCAAAAAGTAGATACCCAAGCGAGAGAATTGCCCGAGAAGGTAGAAGAGGCCCAGGGGGTCCGCCCATCCATCCACTAGCTTGAGGGTCTGGAGATGAAAAGTCCAAAATTGAATTTGAATGTACTCAAACTTTGCCATAACTCGGCACCAATATAACTATCACATTTTCGAAATTTATATCTATGCTAAAGCACTTTTGAATTCATTCACTTTGAATCACTCAAGTTAAATGAGCGGAGCCAATTTGGCCGCTTGTACTTTCTGGAGTCATTTTGTTTAAGAATTTACCTTTTGCAGCGGAAGGTTGGCGATACTCAAATAGGAGCTCCGATGTTATACAGTCCCTTATCAAGTTGACCCTTATCAAGTTGAATGGAGGTGCCTCTAAGTTGAATGCCTTCTCTTGTAAGCGAAACTGTTCTCCAAAAAGCTGAGGCCCGTAGTAAAGCTGATCAGTCAGTCAATCTCAACCAATAAAACTTTAAGTGAGTCTTCGACGAGTTAGCTCTGCTCAGTTGAAGCATTTGATTAAAATCATATCATTCATTCGGAAATTATCATAAAAGAGCCACGCTCAAGAACTAGTCGATACATGCTCCACCACACTGCTGAACATTTGTTTCAACTGGCCTTGGCTTCAGAAAGCCTGGGCTTCGCGACCTAACTAAAGCTAGGTAATGGACAGAGAGCAGCGCGCGAGAGAGACGCAGGTGCGTCGCAGGCAAGAGCGGCCTTAATTAGGACACAGAGCCCCGCCTTCCCGAAGCCAAGTTGAATTAAAGGTTAGTTTTTATCACTTGGAATCACTCGTTCGAACTGTTAATCGCTGTAAGCTCTCCAAACCTCATAGTTTAGAAGGTTCTAGCTGTTTCGAGACGCAGATGAATTGAACCAGGCCCGATTTTTTCGAGCTGCCCTTACTATTTGGTGCAGATGCAGGGAAGGGGGGGGGGGCGGGGGAGACGTCAAAAGTTGCCGTCATGCGCCATGCACGAATTCATCTGCGACTCAAAACAGTTAGAATCTTCTAAACTATAAGTTTTGGAAAGCTTACATCGATTCACTAGATTTCTCCTGTTCTCAATTCTCTAAATGGTAGACCGCGAATTAGTAGTGGGTGTGTGGGCGGAAAAGATGATAAGTGATTGAACCGAATACGATTCAAAAACTTTTTAACTCTGAGAACTAAAATAAAAGCAAGTTCATAAATATTCCTGTGAATGTCCCAAGACGTCAAACTCACCAAATGGTTTCTTCAGACATAGTGAGATAATGCTGTTTGACTAGTAATTTCTGAAGAATCTATAGCATTGAACTATAGTTTTAAAATGACAGCCGAAAAATCGCACCTTCTGACTATCGTGTATTAATGAAACTGTTGCGCAGTTGGGTTGTGTAGAGATTCATTTTCAGAAATGAAGCATAATAATGAAATGGAACTTAAGACAAATGGATTAGCATAAGTGACCCAGCGATAGAGAAACCGCAAAAGCGCAATCTCTAAAGAATCTCCTTAAGAAACTCACCGTGTCATCATACATGCTCTGTCAAAATCATTACTCTAATCATTTTCATATTGATACCCACGAAATGGTACAAGTCTAACAATCTATTTGTTCGATATTGAAACCACATGAGTCATCTGGGCTGAAGTAAACCCTTGAAATATGTCGTAATGTAAAAGAAGGTCACGGCGTGTCTGACTGAAGGGCATGCTGCTCACGACCTGTCTTGGTCGCCGCAACTTGCTCGCGCACCATAAATGTGATAAGATGAGAATGACTCCTCCAGGGTGAAGGGAGTCACAGTGGTCGCAGCCCCTCCAGGGTGAAGCGTGTTTCAGTTGATCGAGAAATCATAAAATGTGTCGGTCGGGGGGGGGGGGGGGAGAGCCATGGTGTTCTCTCATCATTTTTCCTGATCAAAGTTTATATTTTTCAATTCCTTGCCATCACAGGTTGTTTTTTTTTTGAAATGTGAATCGATGTGCAGCTTGATTAGCGCACAATTATATTTCTGGCCAGAACCTTGTATTTTTTTACATTTCATTTTCTTTTTTCACGTCACCCTGCCTATTTTTGAAATTACCATAAAAGATGTGCGAAAAGATTCACAAAGAGACAATTTTTAAGCATTTAGAATCTTTTAAAAGAAGAAATTCGTAATTTCTGTAGATGAACAGCAACGTCAGCTAGGGAAATGTTTTCGAAACCATCTTGTCCTCCGCTTTTAGAGCATATATTGTTTGCCTGGAGTCTGTTGGAAAAAGTATCTGGTGAAGGGTGTGGGTAGTGATTTCTGGATATTTACGAGTTTTCAGGATAAAAAAATCCGTAACTTCTGAAGATAAACAATAGTTCATAGAGATGGTCACCATTGGAACCGCCTCATCCTCCGCTTTCAGAAAATCGAAAAAGTGCCGGATGAAGGGTGGGTGAGACTCAATGGGAGTGTTCAAGTGGAGGCTTTTTTACCATTGTGAAAAGTCGTCTACTTGAGCACTTCCATTATAAAAGTCTCATCCACCCTTCACCCGGCACTTTTTGTGATAAACCCCAGGCAAAGTAAATATTTTCTGAAAGCGAAAGACGAGACGGTTTCAATGGTGACCATTTTGGCGCACAAGATGTTCATCTACAAAAGCAACGAATTTTTTTGAAAATCTTCAAAAATCACTAGGACCCTTCACCCAGGCACTTTTTTAGACGGATCTTAGACATTCTATATTTTTGAAAGCGGAGGACGAGGCGATTCCGAAGGCGACTATCTCCTTGTACCAGCTAGTAGTCATCTACAAAATATATGATTTTTTATGTAGAATACTCGTAAGTGTCCAGAAATCATTAAACACATCTTTCATTGGGTACTTCTCTGAGCGAACTCTGGGCAAACAATTTATACCCTGAAACACAGGTGCGATAGTGTGAGAATTTTCTCACCCCCTCTTCACCCCTGAGCCGGGACCAAGGTGACCCCCTTCACCAAAAGCTAAGAAAAAAACCAACAGTGAGGTAAGGTTGAGCAAAGGAGCTATCTGTACGTGAATCGTTCATGTACAGGAATGGAAGGAGTCTGTTGAAAAAAGTGCTTGGTGACGGGCAGTGATTTCTGGACATTTTGGAGTTTTTAACATAAAAAATTCATAATTTTTGTAGATGAATATTTTTACGGCGAGATGGGCACCACTGAAACCGCCTCGTCCTCCGCTTTCAGAAAGCATATAGCATATCTGAGATCCTTTCAAGAAGGTGCGGTGAAGGGTGTGCCAACTGATTTTTGGGAATTTTCGAATTCTTAACGTAGAAAAATCAATAAATTTCGTAGATGAACATCTTGTACGCCGCGACGGTCACCATTGAAACCGTCTTGTCCTCCGCTTTCAGAAAATATACAATTAGCCTAGAGTCCGTTAAAAAAAGTGCCTGGGTGAAGGGTGTCCTAGTAATTTTTGAAGATTATCGAATTTTGAACATAAATAAATTCATAACTTTTGAAGACGAACATCTTGTACGCCATGATGGTCACTATTGGAACCGTCTCGTCCTCCGCTTTCAGAAAATGTATACTTTGCTCAGGGTCCGTTATAAAAAGTGCCGGGTGAAGGGTGGGTGAGACTTTTATAATGGGAGTGCTCAAGTACAGGCTTTTTTACCATTGTAAAAAGACGTCTATTTGAGCACCCCCATTATAAAAGTCTCACCCACCCTTCACCCGGCACTTTTTCTGACGGACCCCAGGCAAAGTATATATTTTTTGAAAGCGGAGGACGAGCCGGTTAAAACGGTGACCATCCCGGCGTGAAAGATTTTCATCTACAAAAGTTATGAATTTTTTTATGTTGAAAACTCGAAAATCTCCAAAAATCACTAGGACACCCTTCACCCAGGCACTTTTTT